TATATATATATATATATATATATATAACCACCGGTAGTAACAATCTTTTGGTTCTTAGGTAGCACGAAGGCTGAGATAGTGCTACGTTGCCTCTAGTCTAGACAGAAACAGTCCAGAACCTTCCAGCTAGTAAGTTCGTACGTTAACCGGTGACTTATCTTGAGGCGTATATACATATATAATATAAGCAAAACACATACCAGTTCTACGGTTTAACTAGTGAGAGACCAAAAAATCCACTCAAGCTAGCTAGTGGAGCCATATTTCTCACCATACTTCAGTTGGTAAAAAACACAAGAAAGTGATTTTAGATACTGAGTGACCGGTTTGATGGAGCAAATCGAAGTGCATGGGAATTTGTTCTAAAAACGCTGGTATAAAAATCAATGGGTTTGAATAAACCATAGAAACATCCAAGTCTTTCACCTTATCCCTAGAGCCAAGGAGTTTATTTTGTCCTTTGTAGATGCTAGAAATTTTTGCTCTCTTGATACTAGTAGTTTGGTAGTGGCGAGCAAATAGGAAAGGCGTGCATCTACAACAGCCGTAGACAAAACCACCAAGCAAACTAAACAGATAACTATGTTTTGAAGAATACAAAGAGTTTGTTAGTAAGCAACAAGTTTGATCGAATCAACTGGACACAAAACAATTCTAACCGCAGTTGAATTTTACTAAGTCATCAAAAATTGCAGCAATGGTGTGCCTAATTTAAGTCCAACAAGATGAGGTTTCAAACGAGCTCATCAAATTTTGGACCTACTAATTCATTAAAAATACAATCAACTTGAGGATAAAAGGAGACAGATCTACTCTAGGAACCATGATGTCTGATTTTGTGACCCAAAATGAGCGTGTTCTTTGGGGAGAAGGTGAAAAGTCGCGATGATTAGTCTAAATCAAACGTGATGAGCTGATAAGTTGTAAGTTGCACCTTGGCGTTTTTCGTTCTTTTATGAGAAATTGCCCGGGGTTATCATCAAAGCAAGACAAATTGAACTGACCAATGCTCATTAATTTTCCCTTTGTATGCTTTGTCTGCTGGCAAGCCAAGATGATAGGCACTGGGAAGTAGAACATTCAAAGATCAACACTCATTGACTGAAGAAAACAAAAAGGGTAACTTCAAGGCAGCAGGTTTCGCGTAATACAAAAGTAACAGATAATGATTGTTTACCTGCACATTGTCTCTACAGGCCTGTTCCTGTCCAACTTTCAATAGACCGAAGTCTTGATCCAAAATCTCCATATCTGTAATCAGAATAATCATTGATAATTAGAACAGCAAGTGGTTAGACCCGTTGTAGGAGTCTAGTCGATGGGGTTAAGGAATAGTTGTTGTTGCAATAGCGACACTGATATATCAACCACCAGGGTTCATACATTCTTCATACATTCTAGATTAAGAATCCTCATTTCCGCTTGAGATTCAAACCTTTAGCATTTTTCCAAGCAATAGGATGCTTCCCCGTGATTTTAAAATCGGTGACCTTCAAAATCATTGGAAGTCACATTTTTCGGTCATATGCTCATTCGTCTAACTGTTATTTGGAAAATAAAGCCTCTCAATTTTGCTCAAGTTGCACGTCAACAATGAAAATCAAATGCTCACCTATTAAAGTACGGTTCAGCTCAATTGTTATCGACCACTTTGATTCCGATAAGAGTAACGCCCCTAAGAAGATTGTGCTTACAACCAACCTGTGTGGTTATCAATGACGGCGAGGTATCATACAGTAGCACTTGTTGATTTTCAACGGTTATGACGTTTTGTAGGTTCGAGCTCTTACTATTAACATGAACAATTAATTGGTTAATTTTGAGTTATGAATTTCTTAGGGGACTGTCTGTTTTTGTATGAACCTGAAAGGCTTATAGAGGTTTTCACGTGAAAAACACCGAAATCATTGCGGAGCTATATGGGGTTAACAATGATAGACAATCTTACCTACATTTCGAATCCCCGGTTAACCTTGCGGTTGCAAACAAATTCATCTACTATATTGTATGACAGCCTCATGATCATCATCATCGACAGCATGGCATCACTGTTCAACACGGATGCTTCGCTGCCGTGCAACCATGAGTTGTTTGAAGGAAAGAAAATTTTGAACGATGTGAGGGACTCACTGCTAGCTGCTACAATCATTCCGAGGTGCCTACAACTCCAGACACTTATTAAGCAATATGTATAGTAACTGACAACAAGAACGCCACTGACATGAATTAGCAGGCATATCTTGCAGCGTCTCTAATCAGGCGCAGTGAGGATCACGCGGTCCTCCTACTAAAAGGTGAATAGCACCGTCAGCACCCAAGAATTTCTTGATCTCTTTCATATCCTTCTGTCACGTCAAGGGTTGATCACTTCTCTGATTCCGCCACTCTGAACTGGGCGCAGGAAAAACTAAACTCAACCCATCAATGCATGATTTTGGCAGCCGCATCAACCAACAAGAGCCGGTAATTGACATTCAACACTGATCTAGTGTCTTACTGATTGGTTCTCCGTTTGCCTTAAAACCTGGCCAAATTGGTGACCTGCTGACTTGGCTTGATGAAGCTTTTGTGTCAAAGGCGATACGTTTCCCAAGCCGTTCTCCGAAAACGATGGTTTGGCATACGCAACACATCCCAAGCAACGCAGCTTTTGTTTGTGGACACATTCGTCCATGGAAGTACCCGTTGCACAACCGAAAACACGCCCTCTAATTAAATCGGTACGGGTTCTCCGACACCAACCCACACGAGCTATGGTCCTAAACAACGATTGTCGAACACCTGAAGACGTTTCAGTTCCGGTGCCCGAACAGGCAAACTTTCACAGCCATACAATAAAACAGCCCGCACTGTATCTTCATACACACGTCTCTTGAGATTCAGATGTCTGAAATTAGCAAACGCGACGCGAGTCTTGCAGATTCGTGCATTCACCTCGTCTGTCACACCACAATCGAAACAAATGCAACCTCCAAGAGACTTCAAACGCTCCACAACTTCCAGTGCCTCTCCCTGGATCGTAAGTAGCGTGTTCAGTGACTGCACGTCCACGAGCGTGGGCTTACACTTTGTAGGTGCAAAGTGCATACCAAACAACGGGATGACTTTGTTCAGTTCATCGAAAAACACTTGCGTCCCCTTCTCTTCGAAGACGACTACTATGTCGTCTTGTGTGGCTCACAAACTACACTTGTCTGATTGCCATCATCGCAGATTTAATACACCCACGTCGACAAAGAGGGCTATTTGAGACTAACGGATTTTTGTTTCTTTTACGGCTGACCTTGAAGTTAATTAGTGACCCAGATTTAGACACTTGGAGCACTTGGAGGACGACAATTAGTGCGTTGTGTGAATTCGCCAGGATGATATCATTACATAAAGATGAAAATTGTTTTCTCAACTGTTTTGAAGATGCAAAGATCGACCCAATATAAAGGGCAAATAGGCCGAAATACCTTTTCTGCTTGCTGCCACATCTACATTTAACGGGAATGCTGGATGTCTTGGTTGAACTTGAAGCAGTTAGGACGGTGATCTGGATTAACTAGCAAACCTATTTTTCAAGCTTTATTCCGGCCAACAGTGACAAAGTTCTGGTGATTCTTGGTCGATGAAACCCGAAAGGTTTTGTCGGAAGACAATTCCTGAGTGACTTTTTCCTTCGTTACTGCTACGCGAGAAGGCCACCGATGAAGTTTCTTATTGTCGATAAACAAGCTCTTGTTTGCGTTTATCGTTATGAAATGGAACTGTTTTGGTCGGCTTCAACAGCTCCCTTACTCATACAGGATGACACTCTGTCCAGCCCTGTGCTTCTTCGACCAGGGGTAGCCAGTAACTGGTCAGTCGTATTGAATCTACTGAGAGGAGTAGTTTCCATCTGATTTTGCTAGACAGCATTCGAGGCACAAAGAAGTAATCGCTGACAGACCATTTTTCTGGCATGCTGCAATGCTGGCGCTAATATGACATGTGACTTTGCTAAATATGTTGACCAAAGGTTGTATGTCATTTCTGAAAGTTAGGTGCATAATGAAGTTTATATCATATTTTATTCCGAGGACGAGCCCGCAGCTTTTTGGCTCAGCTCAAATATGGCATCCAGATTTGATGGCAATACCAGGCATGGTTTTACAATTGTTCGTTCAGAATGTCAGCGGACACTGGCAACTTTTGCTAAGGAATAACCTGCGGACGGGTCAAGTGTATAGATTTTCAGTTTTCAGGAAAATATAATCCAGAGGCTTCTGCAGTACAAATACGGTTGTTGTGGTCAACTCAGGCACCCCAAAACAATTAAAAAACAGCGCGGCCGTGTTTGCAAGGTGGATCTAGGAGGGAATTCGACCGAACACATGCGTTTAAGACAACGTGAAGTGATGCCGAGTAAAACTAAACATAAGACAAATGAATTTGGGGCTTGAACAATAACGATATCAGTGGATTGCTATCCGGCGTCTTACCTATGGCATGTACAAAACTCAGGAGTTATTATTTTCATATGTATGCACACACACTACCAAAACATTCGCTTTTATGCTGTACTTATACAGCTGAGTGCTATTTAAGTGAAGTTTGACAGCCTCACTTTAAAAATCATTATTCTCCTGTCAGACATCGTCTGGGTAAATAAGGCCGATCGTTTCGACGTTCAGCAAAGCAACATTCTGATACCATGGGTAAGCTGTTGGTGCACTAGTCATCCTTGAGAACTACAAGTATACACTTTACCGGAGGCTACGACATTGAGAAAACTGGTGAAGAGCCTGCATCGAATTCGGAAACAACTCCAAAAAGTAAAATAATTCCCTTACACGGTGAATACGGACTTTCGTGATGAATTTAACTACAATATTCCATCACCGTCTTGCAAAACTCGATAAAGTTATTTACTTGGCTGCGTTTCAGGTTAAAGGACTGGAACCTACCTGCAAATTTTCCTCCACCAATTCCGATTACGATGATAGATATCGGTAGGAAGGACGTCTGTAAAATAAGGAAAAGCAAGCGAGATAATCGTTTAGTGCAATGCTTTCGGATAACAAAGACAACCAAATCTCTTGTTCGATATTAATCTAAATGCGAATGTTACTGAAGAAGCATGCCATTAATGTCTAGTCAGGTGACAAAGCCTGGTCTCCGCATCCGATGGGAGGTTGGTACGGAAATTGTGGAACCGTTTTGCAGTGTTTGTTCATTGTTGTTGTCCAGAAAAGTTGAGGTGGACGCTTGAGAATGTTTACTTTTCAAAAATTCTGTGCAAACGGGATTTTTAATGTCGCGTCTAATAGCTTGGAACCACTTAGTTCGGTTAGTTAATAGACGACACTGTACTCAATAACACCACTCCATTCGCTGGTTCGTAGACTAATGACAACAGTGAGTCAGGTTTATAGGCACTGATTTTGTGCCTCTTTTTTGAAAGCTTGCACCGTTTTCCTCACAAGGCCGTTTTACAATAGTTACTTTCCTCAGGCAAATCGTATATCCAAATCAGAGATCGCTTAGGCGCGTTGTCAGGCTAGAAAACAAAATGACTAACTAGGGGGTTCTTCCTTGGCTTTTTGTTATCACGATCGTCCCGCTCGATAGGTGAAACGGCCTATTCAAAGGGGATATCATTCGTTTAGATGTACTTAAAAAACTACTAGGGAGTTGCTACTTCCGATGTTTGCGTCTGCAGACATGAACACCCACCGCAAGAAACAAAATGTAACAGCAGCATGCAACTGTTGAGCGAGTTCGTAAATGTTTTTTTTGACTGTTGGGACAAACGCGTAAATGAGAACATTTCGGAATGATATATGTGGACAACAGTTTGTGCATGAATGCCCAACAAAAGTGAGTCTTCATATGCATTGACCGACTGACCAGTTCTACTGAAAAATCTGTGAAATCGGTCAAATCATGGATTAGATGGCGTAACTTGCAATTCTGTAGCAAATCTTGACAAGGGAAACAATCAGCCCTTTATTCTACTTGCTGGGATGCACACAGTATGGAAATTAGGGTTTTCGCGGTTCTTCTCTATAAATATCGCTTCAGATGACCAACTGAGAATGACTGTGCGTGAGAAATGCCCCCTATTTGGGAGAGGTTTCTATTGGAATACGCTTCATGAGGCCTAACAAAAACGGCCCTTCCGAAGGGTAGTCCCTCAATCTCCCGAGGACGGACCATCTTTTTTTCTCTTTAGCTAAACATAACTGAATGACAGAGTGCAAGCAATGGTACTGATAGGTTTTGTGTAGATGTGAAGATGAATATTGTAGATTTCTATGCACTAAAGATATTAATTCCCACTCTTCACCACCCTTTGGAACTCCTATTCAAAATGAATGTGTATTGTGAAGGCTTTCTATTCAACTCGAATATTAGGACAATGCCTTACACAAAAGTATTTCGCTACGGACACACACAATGTTATCATTTCTGACAAAATGATTAGCGTTATACGTGTGATAGCTCTATTTTAGTCGTGTACCGCACAAACCTGATTTTTTCATTAAGTGGTTTTGTCATTCGGATGTTCAGCGTATCGTAGGTAAACAAATTTTTCAAGTCCACAAAGACTCAGGTTTAGGCGCCACCTTGGGAAAGGCTTTTTGTCGTAAAGTACGAAACAGTGCCAGCAGCTTATTACCGGGAGGGGATAGGTGCCCAGTCAAAACTCAGTCGGGCAATAAACCGCGTGTAGGACACCTAAATGACTGTTTAACTAGACTTGCTGATACATTCCTTTGACATAAACTCAAATTTAGCGGCCACAAGCGTTTGGCAGGGCCAGATGTGTTTATGGTTGGTTTCAGCCTCAATAGTGCAAATCAACAAAAACGTACCCATTGGTTTTTTACCAAGTGACTCTTGGTCTGTTCAAGGAGCTCGGCGATTGACTCGCAAACGTTTCGTCACCATACGATAGGACATCAATCATCAGTACACTGTAATCTCCGTTTTGCATCGCTGACTTTTTAATGGAAAAAGATTAGCTTACAACACTCTGCATTTGTTTATGAGATCACAGCACACACTCGTTAAGCGCGACTTCATGTACTGTCTGGTATAAGAGTAACCTCAATATTTTGATGGGCCACCCGTGAACTTAGTTCGAAGGAGATGAATGATTCCGGGAGGTGTAGAGAAAATAGGGGGAGTCACACGGCGACCATGGTAAATCAGCTTAAACGGTTTCAGCCAGTATTTCTGCTGTGCAGTCACTCTGCGTTTCTGCATTTCTGCTGCCACTCGTATTCTCATTCAGAAAGTTCTCTAACCATAGTATCAGCTGTCTGCCAGGACAATTTTTGGAAATCTCGTGAGGAAAAATGTTTTGGGGTAATGTTTTCATCACCGCTTCATCTGCTATAAAATTTTATGCTGATGAAGAATTGCACAACATTTATTCGTGGTGATCTGAGGAACTAATGGTGAGACCGATCGAAATAGGCAGAGCGTTTGGCAATTTTATAATGACATTTAGCTAACAACATACACGAAACTGAACTCCATTAGTTGACTCAATCCACTAATATTTTATTAGACCGCTGGCTACAGGTAATGAAGTCCCCCAAGGCAATGACAATCAAGCGCTTAAAGCGCACACTCTGACACTGCTGTGGTAAACTAATCGATCATGTGCTCATAAGTTTCCCATGAGCGAAGTAATTTTTGCTTAGGTGTTCTCAGCTCGTTCGAATAATTCCTCCGTTAAATTGCAAACGAATGGTGCTTAGGTTGCGAAAAACAGTACTTTTTCTACTAAATAGTGCATACCTTTTCTGGAAAGATAAATCAAAAATTGGCCATTCGGAAACCTGTTCACTGGATTGGTTTTATGAAATGGAGTAAACACCACAATGTTTGAGGACTATTTTGATTTTTGATAGTACAGCAATAGCTGTTCCAAAACGCCGGTCAAACTAGATGTTCTAAGATTAGATAAACAATAGAGAGATTTGTTTTATCTGCAGCTGTTCGTTTGCTTACCTCACATTTAGATTGGCAATCAGGACAGATCGATCGACTTCAAAGCCTATGAACCAAATAGACTGGCTTTCCGGAATATGCGGATGAGCCAATAGTCAATAGTGTCAATCAAAAAACTTTCTACTGCAGGATACACCTGCAACTTTGGTTTCAGGGACCCCGTTCAAACTTTCCTCATTGGGGAGCACAGGGAATGCTACATGTCCAGCACATGCAACCAAAGTCAGAAGCAGTGACAATCATGTACAAGACCTGGTACCTTCAATATGTAGCTTTCCCCATCTTTGCCATATTGGAGGGATAAGACTACTTCAATTCATTCAACTGATTTGGCCATCGTTTACAAAACATGACTCTGATTCCCCGTTTAGCTTTTTCTTCGATGAATGAAGATGTACTAGCCGGGATTGATGTACCCTTCAGTAAACGATTGGTTGCCGAAAACCCGGAAAGACAGAACTTGTCAGGAGTATTAAGAATGACTTGAGACCATTGGAAAAACATTTCATCCAGGTCGTTTTCATTGTGCCACGGAAACTAGTGCAAATTGGCTCGGAATTTATTTGGCCGTACAACTTGTCAAGTAGAAATTTTGACACCAGACGCTTTTCAAAAATTTCTCATAACAAGCTTGAACCAACCGAAATGAATCATACAGTCTGTTGAGAATTGTCGTATGAACATTCGGTTAGCTTCAGAGTTCACCGTTGTGCTATTCAAAATCTCCCCTCAAAAATCCATTCTGTTTTCTTCAGTCAATGATAAATGACTGATTTCATCCTTTAAAAAATGAATTTGTGTATACAATGACGCTCTGTGATGAAAACCAAGCTCATCGGTTGTGCTTCAACAAAAACTTGGATTTTTGTCAACCACAGGGTATGCAGTATTTACACAAAATTACCGCCCACATTTTTGATTATTGGTGAAAAACACAGGTTATTCTTATTGAGGCCACAACAGATCTGTAATACCAATTTCTCACTACCAGCTTGTAGTTAAAAAAGTAATTTTTCTCATGAAAAATGATTCTTTTGTCGAAGCTCTCCAAGTTTGTATCGGCAAATATTTGACAGTTTTTAAAGGAGTTATTACTACAAGGCAGAAATTAAGTTATGCAGATTTTATCTGACTCCGCAGGAGAAATAGAACAAAGATAATAAATTTTGAATGTCACAGCTGTATAGTATATGTATTTATATCTCTGTTGTGTACACGGCCCTTCCGTTGTTCTTATGATTCTGCGCAAGGCAAGGAGGTATCGCACTGGTGTTTTAGCCGTGATAAGCCATGTGCGTCCGCGTGATTACATAGTTGAGTACATGCACTAATGTCGAGCGCTAGTAGGAGTGGCAGTCCAATCCAGTGCTTTCTCCCGCTGGAGAAGACGAATCAGGGTCAAGGTATTGGGATAGGCAGACAACTGTTCAAACTAGGGTGGCGTGAATGCTTGCTCTAAAACCTAAGAAGTTATCCACAACAAATGAAAAACGCAGTAGCGAATTTAGGCGAGGTTCGTTTTGCGGCGAATGTCTAAGAGTCCGATTATCGAATCACTGTTTTGAGTGAGAGTTTGCTGCTACGATCCCGCTTTTTCCTCTTGATTGCCTCAGGCGAATTGGTAATATAATCTGCCTCGGTTGAGAAAAGGTAGACTGCGACTGAATTAGTGAAAACAATTTGAGTAGAAAATCCGATATCATCTCTGATAAACCCAGAGGCGAGCAAGTAATTTTTTCAGTTTTGGTGTGACAGATTTCATCATTTACTATCGATTTATGTGAAATGGAATTTTAAGTCAGTTTGGAGGTAAAGCGTTCATACACCGCCTGAAGGGTTTACTTACTTCAATGACAGCCTTTTTTGTTTCAATCCAGTCGTCAACCGTACCGTTTGTAAGAATCAGTAGGACGTAATAGTTTTCTGTGTCCTTATTCCTTCTTGCGGTGCTGAAATGGGAGATTGAAATCGGGTTAGTTTGAGACTGTTGCTCGCTCGGTACTTTTAGAAACTGTTCATACTGAGTCACCAAAATATCTCTATCATTCCCCTACCAGCACTTTTGAAACCATTTATTTATTATTTATTTGTGGCATTCTTCAGTTACATATTGGGTTCTGGGTAGTGAAACCGTTCTACACTATATGAGGTTTGCTAGTCTCTAGCAGACGGGTACCCGAATAGCTATTTTCTGGAGAAATAGGACGTCAATCGCATGGCACGCATTATCGTAGGAGAGCAAAGTGTTAGTCAGTAGGCCTGGAATTTAGCGAGATTTAGTCAGTAGACGGACTAATTTCTTCATCATTTCTGTGTTTCACAGCTTTCGGAGTTCAGGTTACGCACATTAACCGCTGTTGCCACCTAGTGTCCTTTTGTTGCCATTTATTACTACCTACTCATAAGTACGTGGGCATTTCTCCAACAATCGTTGACATGCACTCTGACGCATCCTTCTCAGGGCATGGACTATCAGTAACGGAAACGTCGAGTCAGACTTGCGGAGTTCTTGTTTTCCATTTTCCCACTTCTGATCATTTCGACTTGGCTGGCCTCAAACTTTGTAGCCTGTTGCACGTAAGCCTGAAGGACACTCTTCCGCCTACAAATTAGGTGTTACCATGAGCATAGTCAACTTGAGGCGTGCCTAATTGTTTTGGCTCATAAATGGTGCAATTATTGTCGGATTGTCAACATATTCGAGTTGGATAACATGCTAAGTGGGCGCAGTTTATAACAGGTACCTGTTGTCCTGAGTCTTGCGCACCTCACTTTTCATCTACCAGTAACGCGAGCATTACTTTTGGTTGAATATACGTAGAGGATGATGGAAAAGCTGATCATCACGTAAGTTAAAAACTTCTGATGAAAATAGTTTATCTGGTTGCATTTTACGCATGGTTTCACTTTTCAACTAGTCTTTCACCCATGTTATTTAACTTCTATGTTGAAAAATTACCAAACCTGATTAAAATACTTCCTACTGGCCTGAATTAAGTAAGGGTATTTCATCGATTCGTCCCGTAAACTCTGGGAATGAACAATCTTCGGATTATTGGTGGTGGTGCGAGCTAATTTCCAGCGCACTGAATTTTCGGATTTCATAGCTTCTTCCAACCACTTCACTTATGAAACACTAAGTTTCTTTCTTCGGTGAACTTTGAAAATTTCAGAAAGAATTATAGGAAAATTCTTGTGAGAAATAAGTGTGCATTACGGGAACGTTAATGAACGCTTTGATATACAAAGATTAACAGAAGTAGGCCTTTAAAAATTCCTGACCTAGTTTAACTAATTCCCCTAGTATCAATACCGTTTAACGAAGAGTGAGTTATCTTTAATAGATTATTTTTGCTTATTTGGAGACGTATTTCATTAGCAGATGGGATAATCTTGGCGGTTTCGAACCCGCGATCTCCCGGTAAGCAGGTAAAAATCGTACCACGTGTTCACTGATTCCCCAAGTAACCGTTTCTCAAGTAAAAAGATCATACAACCTGTGCGATGTTTTCCTTTCTGAGTGAAATATTCATGGTTTGAGCATATGGATGGATTTTGAAAAGGGCTTTAGTCGCACTTTCTGTTGACATGTGAAATTCGTCTCTGACCACCGTCAAGCGCGAAATAACTGTATAGATGACGATAACTGGATGAAATCCTGATTTCACCGAGTGCAAGCGGAATAACGGATGTTGATGACGAAACTCGAACATTTGACCCAACACTTGTTGAACCGATACTCCACATGGACTACAACGAATGATTCTTGTCTTGTACGTAGGAAAGCGTGATTTGAGTGTAATTTACCGTGCCTGTGTCTAATGTATTGACAGCCAGACATTTTCAGTGCCACGCCAGAGAGTATTTGTATGCCATTCGTAGCACGTTACGCATACATCCGAAATGAAGGCATCGCAGATGGGATGGACAGACAAGCTTGAAGATTGGTATTAAAAAGTGGAATCATACTCACCGGAAGTGTGTATGTAAAATACCGACGGCATGTGCACACAAATCAATTTTGTGGTACATGTAGGAAGAAGATAGATATCGTCATGAAGTGGCGAAGGTAAAGTTTTCAGGTGTAATTCATGATTGTACGTGGGCTGGATTAGTACCAGACAATGAGACGCTTAGGGTCCTCAGAGAAAGCCTTTGGCTTCAAGGCCTAATTGCAGTGCAATGCTGGTTGACTTTGAGCAGGCTGCATTTTCAGGGAGAAAGTCGCCACCCATGCCTCTTTACTCACTGACAAACACGGTCCAAGAGAGCCTGAAAATGTCCCACGTACACCCCCAGGGGTAGCACAATCGGTAATGGAAGTGCACAAACTGCCACATTGTGGTAAAGTACAATGTCTTCGTGTCTACTGGTTGCTGTGCCGTGATGTACTCGTCAAAATCTCTGGGTGCCCAGAATGATATAATAGTAGTTCGTACCCGGTTGGAATGTGCGAAAACATTTACCAAAATCTAACACGAAACACAAGGCATCAAGTATCTTGTTTTGGGCAGGCAACGCTTTCGCTGGACCTTAGATAGTAAGCAAGGTGATGACATTCAGGCGACCGCTAAGAAGATATACACAAAAGCGTATTTTTGGCCGTATTCGTCTATTGGGCGAGCGTACAAATTGGTGTGGGACTTTGAGAGGGTGGATGTCGTTTCAGTTATAAATCAGTGATGACATTCAGGCGACCGCTAAGAAGACATACACAAAAACGTATTTTTGGCCGTATTTGTCTATTGGGCAAGCGTACAAATTGGTGTGGGACTTTGACAGGGTGGATGTCGTTTCAGTTATAAATCGGCCTGAGTGAGAACAACTAAAGGTCATTTAAGTTTGTTTGAGCCAGCCTCAACCAGATGAGGTTTGACATCTAACATTGAGGCTCGACCAAAGATTTTACACAAGCTGTCTGCAAAACCAAATTTCAATTGTTTCGACTTTCCTGTCTATTACTGGTTCAGCCATGGTTTTCGATTTAAATTTTGTGCTGGGGTCAAATTTGTGATTAATTTTCCATTCTAGGATATCTTATTGCACAACAGAAAGACATTTAAATTCCTCAAGCTGCAAACCAAGCGAATTTTAGCCTAGGAATAGCCTGATGTTTACTGAGATTTTCTGGGAGATTTGCGTATTGTTCTGGATTTCATTTCAGCCACCGGTGTCTCAAGGTCACCCCAAGGTAATCGCGAAGTTCCACGGGATTGGTTCCTTCACCGCACGAATAGTTACATGAGATCTAATTCAAAATACCCAGACATCCTCATGAGATAAAAGCGCAATCAATTTGCATTTTGTGGGGAAAAAGTTCGTCTTGATTTTGATGTATACAGAGTGTATTTGTCAGTCGATGGTTCACTAAGCCTGGATTATGTATGGGAATAGGAAACAATGCCCCATCCTCACTTAATCGGATCAAAAGTCCGTCGGAATGTAGATAAGATAAAGATAAACAAAAGGCATCATTTGGGGATGAAAACTGCAGGTTTGAGACTGCAGCGGAAAAGATCCAAAGATGTAAGCGTGTGCTCGTCCACTGAAGAACGATGCCGACAGGCACAGATGTATTGCTGACCGTTACTTTTCATCAGGAACTCAGGTGGCCACATTTCTCGAAATCAGGCTTATCTATGTAGATCGTGGAAGGCGCGATTTAAATTTAAATGCATTTTAAAGGTGGGCAAAATCTAAATCCAAGAGTGTTTCTAGCTAGTCGGGAAAAGTTAGGGGCGCCAACTCGACTTCTGTTAATGGTCGAGTGAATTTCCGACCGTAAGCGTGTGCTCGTCCACTGAAGAACGATGCCGACAGGCACAGATGTATTGCTGACCGTTACTTTTCATCAGGAACTCAGGTGGCCACATTTCTCGAAATCAGGCTTATCTATGTAGATCGTGGAAGGCGCGATTTAAATTTAAATGCATTTTAAAGGTGGGCAAAATCTAAATCCAAGAGTGTTTCTAGCTAGTCGGGAAAAGTTAGGGGCGCTAACTCGACTTCTGTTAATGGTCGAGTGAATTTTCCGACCGAACAGTGAAAAATCTCCTGTGCTTCTACGCCGTCTTCTATGTAAACTCGAGGAATGAGGTACGAAGCAATGACCAAATAAAGCGGTTTCAAAGCCACCCAGCTCATCTAGACGATTCCCAAAACCGTCAAATTATGAAGTATAACATGAATATTGAACCACACAATGTACGCAATTAATGGGCTGTTAGCTGAGCAGCCCACAAGATAGTCTCATTGTAGAATAAACTGTAGAATAAACCGTGATCGAGCACATCGCCGCAGTGATTGTGTTCAACAGTTCGACCAAAGTTTGTGTGCTTCTGTCATGTGCAGGACGGATAACAAATATTTTGACCAAGAATGCAAACAGAATTAACCTATTTCTGTCGCTCGGTAGAGCTGCATATAGATTTACAGAGCAAACCCATGGACACGCCATATTGGGGATTTTTATTTGTTTTTACGTGATTTCTAGCACTGTAGACTGCAACGAGAATGATATTTCCACGTCTTTATTTGACGTAGGCCAGCAAGCTCTGTTCCGGGTGGATGAGACAAACTATTTTTTTTGGCTAAAGACAAACGTAACTGCGAAGTCAATGTGAGCGATCAACAGATCCATCCAATCCTCTAACCAAAAAAAACGAGTTAACACAGCGAATTCCTATCCACTCCATCAAGGCCGTGTTGCTAAATAGACCATCACACCCCCAAAGCACATTTACCACGTACGTACTCATCATCTATACAAATTTTTACATCAAACACATTAGTTCATATGATTAAAACATACTCACTCGCTAACATCTCGTATGATTGGACTGAAGCAGATGGGTCCGGAAAGATGGAGCGCCTCAAAACTACGACGGTAGGCTTCCAACACACCAGCCATCCCCTTGCAAAAATAATTGTTCTCATCTCCACTCTGAAAGGATAAGGACCAAATTAAGCTGGGCAGTCACTGTGAAATTTTACATTGAACATGGTACCTCAAAGAGTATTCTATACAGAATTGCTCATTAAATAGTTTTCAAGATCCGAAAAACGTCTCAACGTTTACAAACATAGTGTTGGTATTCAGGGGAAGTGCTCACAGAACTGACAAAATTAGTTGTTTAGGGGGGGAATTACCTGTAGGATAGGATGATTAGTTCCTAACCATTCTGAGAGCAGTAACGTTACAAGAGATAAGTGAAATGAGTCGAGCCATCAAGCTTTATTGAAAATAACTCTGCTTAGCCAAACATCCACACGAACGCTTTGTCAAAGAAATCTTGTAACAGGTTGGTAGTGAATGACTTGTGTTTGGGTCTTTGCAATCTAGTGCTTAGATGAAATGTAAAAAAACGGTATCCATATTGTGATTGTGACCCCAAGGGACCGCTGAAGTCTACAAAAGATCTAAACTTTTTATTAGAACAGAGAAACGCTGGTTTACACCACTGTGGACAAATTCATTTTCTGGAGAGGTCGTTTTTGACCAGCTCCATCAGCAGTCATTACAGAGAGGGCTTATTCCAGAGGAAAATGCTCTACTTAGTAGAAATGTCTTACCTGTGACTTCTGCATCAGAAGTTGGGGTGTAAGGCATAAACGGACCTTTATGTACTTTGATATTAAGCGCCAAACCAGATAAGACAACCACTCATTCAAATAACAGGACCGAATAGCAATGTTGTAGTCGTATTCATCAGCCTTGGAAACAAATTGTCATGAACTGTTCTGTGGGAAAATGGGGCGCGATGAAAGTCTAGAGTATATTTCAGATTAAATCAAATTACTACGTGTAAAGCGGCGAGCCTCATTTTGTATTCCTCCTACTTTACGAACGGAGGGTTCACAGTTGACGACTGACAACAGAGCTGACACATGGATGACAGTGTGTCATCAGGTCATGTATGGTATATGAAAACGTCAAGTCGCAAGGTTTGCAGAGTTTTAACTTGTACTGCGTGAGAATAAGGATAATGAGAATGACTCAAATAACAGTAATAATAATTGTCTTCATCGAGAACAGATCTAAGTTTGGTTCTTCCAACCAAACGTAAACCACTCAAAAAACTATCGCGGTTGGTCTGTAAACTGTTCAAAGCACGACTACATTGCCTACTTACATCAAAGCCAAGTTGCTTTGACTTTTTACCACAAGCGCTTGTGTGAAGCCCACCCAACTAAACATTTCGGTATAAATAATCTATTCAGCCACGTTTGCGATTCAAGGTGACATAACTCTATCTCCATGATAAACCAGAGTTATCACGGGAAAGCAGTTTCCGTTATAATATCCTAAAATATCCCGCCCTCAAATGGGACAGCAAAAAAATTCCGGTTATTTCAGCAGCATCAGGAAAAGAAAATCACTTCAACAATCCAATTTTTGAACTTGAAAATATGATATTCTTGCATTGAGAAAATTTGGGAGTAAATTTTCCTGGTATTGCCTAGTACTGACTAATCCAGACAAATACCTGGTTCCTGATGCATAATCGTCGTCGATGCTCACTGGGGATCTGCTATGTGCTAAATCATTGGCCTTTAATTTTACTGGGAGTTTAGGATAAGAAGTTTCGACAGTGAGATGTCAAAAACCTCTTTCTCACAAGCGCTTTCGTCTTTTTCGAGGTCGGCTAAGCGGGGCTGAAGGCCCGGATACGTGAGCAAAGTTTCAGGCTGCAATCTCCAGAGAGCGCGTCTGTCAACCCGTAACTGGTGATTTTGGTTTGAAGTGCGGCTTTCTGGACTGGTAAGCTGCCAAATAACTCAGATAACATTTTAACTACTAGTAACCAGCCGAGGAGATCTAAGAAACTATACTCTGAGAAACTTCCTGAAGGTCATATTCCTATGGGACGATGTGGGTCTTCATCTATACCTCAATTCCCCAGTGATCGAGCAAGAATCACCTTATATCCAGAGTATCATACTTGCCTACAAGCCAGGTAGGTATCCTAAGGGTCACTAAGAATTTCATCCTCTAACATTACCTTTATATCCTGAATTACAATGTCAGTTGAAACTTGTAGTAACATTTTTGTTGAGAACTCAACTAAAGACAATAGTCCTTTGGGTGAACCTCATCAATGTAGCTTGCTACTGAGTGACAATCGTAACGTCGTTTTTTCTTAAAGCCCCGCACAGGTAATCTTGCTTATTAGTTTTTTCCTGGATAATTAACTTTGCGCGCCTTCAGTTGAATTACACGCACCAGGAATTCATATGTAACTTGATGGGCTCGGAAGAACACAGAGTCTTCACACACGTTTGAAACTCTGGCTCACTTTCTGATCGGACCCGTAGTGAGGCAGTACCCCGAAGTTACAAACAGTTTAGGTGTATTCAAGTGGCGGTTCCACTAAAATGGCTAAAGACACGGGCGTGGACAAATCGTATGTTAGATGATACCTGAAGCATTTATGTCGGGAGGAGTGACTGCGTTCTGGAGCAAACAGCAGTAAAATTGTGAACGCGAGTGTACTCGGAATATGTACCTGGAAGCTGTCAGGTACCTGCGTACCTGCTCCCACATAGTTTTACTCATACTTACTGCAAGCCTGTTTACGAAGAGTCCTCTAGCTAGGTGGATCTGAACTTCATACTACCACTCTACGTTACTCACAAAAATCGTTTTAACATGATATTGACCTACCGCATGACGTTCCTTTGAAGCCTTCAGAAGTGTGGCGAACAAACATACTGAACAAATGAACGCTACCGGTGAAAGCAGTTGCCCAACTACTCAAACAGAGTAATATATAATTGATTCACAACAGGGTAGTGGTACATAGTCGACTCACAAGAGGGTACTTGTGGCAAAGTTTTCCTCCAGATGATAATCTTGATCCGAAACCGTATGCTGGAAACAGTTGGTCACTTGTAAAAAAAAGGCAAAATAGTTCAGTGTGTCTAACCATTTGACTTGTACGATCAGGATTTATTCGAAACAACCTAAAGGATCGCCATAGGCTTTTGGTAAATTCAGGACCATCTCTTGACGGGATGCACTTACTCCCATATAATGCGCTGAAACGGGTAAATTCTGCGGAAAAAATCATGAAAGATCACTCAAGGTAGAACCGTAAACTGAGATGAAGGAAATGTACGTGATGCATTCAGGTTTGTTAACTGTTCTAGTAGTAACCTGGTCAAAAAAACTGGAACGAAGTGAATATGAACTTTTATGATATGGATGAGAACTGTCCTACATATTTCGTAGGAGGTGTTAGTATAAGAACAAAAGGGATGAGAATTGTCTGAGTCCCAGTTCCACAAAGAAACGTTGATGCCGCACTACTCAGCCCGCGCACTACATATAAGTAGTATCGGTCGCCAAACTTTAGTCTAATTGGGATCGACTGCTCCAGTGTCATTCCAGACAAAGGGTAACATATCAGTCATTTAGACTATCTGCTCCGCCAGCTTGACTTTGAAGACGAGGCCGACGTAGGCGAGATAAGCGTCGGTAATTACGTTTAGCTGATGATGAAATCATCTGGTCATCTGCTGAAACGCCCAAAAGCTCGGGATTGACCTGGTGATTTTAAAGTGGCAAGACGTTTTGAGTGCAATGAAAAACCATTTAGCAATAATTTTCAAAGTAACTTGAATACGGGGCGAGTATAGCGTAATTTGGACCCGTCATCATGTCCTCTGATTGGTGCGTTGGTGGCCAGATGCGACCAGCGTGTCTGCACATATTGGCTCTGTGTTCATGTACACGCGATTTATGCTTTGGCCGGGATTGTCTCCAGTTGGTCGTTTAAGTGTCGTTCAGAACACGGCCTCATATCTTGCAATCGTATCGATTGAGATGCGTTAAGCTGGGATGCTCGTCCCATCATTATGGCTGGCGCACTTTATCCGTTCCTCCTGAGTGGAGTATCAGCTGTGTGAAATATGATGGCTGAGTCACTCATTTGGAAGTGCCTTTTGGACGGCATCGAAAATATGATCTCTATTCCCACTTCAACCACCGGACTTTCGTTTCCTCACCTACCAGTTTCGGGAACCTTGTTCACCATTCATTGATTAGTAAGTGGGTAGGTGTGATGGGTGGCTGGTGAGTGGGTTAGTATCTTGAGAAATTTATTTTCCATAATACCCCACTGGGACGCTTCACTTCATCTGTTTCTACGGAATTACTCGAGCATAGCTTCTTGACATGATTCACTTAGGATCCGACAACTGTGCGCTTGATGTGATGTGGATGTGAGGACATGTGATGCGCAAAGTGGGAGTTTCCTGTAAACTCCCGCCGAGAGTCCCCCGACTAAACAGCTACAGCTGTTTTCGTTCAAACAGTTTAAGAAAGTTTGAAGTGGTGTTGCTGATGTAATCATAACTATGTCATCAACCTATCTCAGCCGGGTACGTGATGAATGTACGAGGTGACGTGAGGTCTTTGTTTCAACACTGCGCTGGAAAACATTATCCATTATGGGTGATATTGGAGAGCCCATCAATCAGTCCGTTTATACAGTACATTCTGAAATGTTAAATGCGTGGTGATTAGACCTAGTTCAACGACAGCAATGCCATCCGATGGACACATGTCGACACACAAATTAGAGAGAAGTCATATGTAGTCGTTAACTAGTACACTAGTTCGAGGAACTTTTGTAATGAAGCCAACTGCTACTACAATGTCACTGAACATCATGCATCATGCATCATTCATCATCAATCATCCATCATCTTCATCATCATCATCATCATCATCATCATCATCATCATCCTCATCGTTGACGTCATTTACAGCTTCAACCAATCTTTCAAGTGGACAGATCCTAACTTGCACAGATAATATAATTCACAAGGAGACATATGAGAGTGCCCTATTTGTGTACTCCTGGCATCCCGCAGATGCTTCCTGGTCTGTTGGATATGAACACCTCCGTGCTGAAAAGGATTAGAGTTTTCGTTGTTTTGGGTCTTTTTTAAGTTGAAGTTTGATCTTGTTAAGAGTGGCAGCTTCCTTCTGCGTTCCGATCTTCACATACACTACCTCTCTAGTCTTCGCGAATCACAACTATTTATTTGCTGACTTACACCACAGGGATGTGGGTCGAATAGCCTTTAATCACTGGATTCTGTCCACCTGCATACACAGTCGACCGGTAGCTGAGTTTTGAAAGTATTGCAAATGCGTAATCTAGCTTCCTCTTATTTCTCAACCAGAAGCCTCGAAAATGCGGGCTCTATAGGCAGATGAAGTTGAAATTCAGACTTCTTATTACCAACTAAAGCTCGCTCTCAGCTAGGTATCTGCTGAACGGGCTAAAGCAGGCTTGTTCGATCCAGTTATTTTGGGCGAAACGGCTTGGTTTCACTTTTTCTGGATACCTTCACTTCTTGTTAAAGTTTGCTAAGTCTTTCTCTTTGCTTTTGCTTATAAACTCCATTCCGCAATCAGAGTTTTGATACCGATTAACGGATTGGTGGGCAAAAGGAGTCCAATTATCCCTTTTTAAAATCATACCCGGATATGTAATGATTCAACAGTAATGGTCCATGAGTAATTAATTTGATGCAAGCCTATCCAGGCTGCTGTTTTATTCACGTTTTTCGATCAAAGGGAGCATTTTGGGAGCTTACCTAACAGGGATGCTGTGAAACTATCGTTAGTCGAAGGCAAGAGGAACAACATAATTAGGCACGCTTTTTGGGAAGGAATCTGCTTGTTTGCGGGGTTAAGCATGTTGGGACCAAACATGCACACAGATGCACACTGATCACGGATAATCAAACACGAAAGACTGGTTGTAAAATCCATTGAAAAGGGTTTCTCAAGGCGCTCGAAACGTCGGATTACGATATTTTATTCTACCGCGCTGTTTCGACTTTGAATGTTCCGTGTTACACGCCAAAATGGGACTGTCTTTTTCGTGAAATCTGAGCACAATTAGTCTTCGAAATTATGTGACCGAATCTGGTGGCCAGTTTACACACAAGCACTTACTCAGATCGTTTAGACATATTTCAGGGGAGAGAAAATACCACATGGTACACAAATCCAAATATTCTATTCTTTGATGACATCTGAAATCTTCGAGTATTTTTGCAAACTATTGATTGCGGGGTGAAGAGTGCAAGCAATCAAAATAGCTTTATAACGGGGACATATTATCATATCTATCATTTGTTTCTGGTCACAATCAAGCTAGTGTTATAGGCATCTTCTTCGATATAACTTTCTTCTATCTGCGAAAAAAGAGCTTCAGCCAACAGGCTGGATTGTTAAAGAATTTTCGGGTTGTTGTTGGTATTCTGAAAATATTTTGGAATTCTCACCAGGCATTTTTCCTCTGAGCAAAGTGCGGCTATTCCAAAAAGCCAAGTAGCGCTGTAGAGTGGTCTCATATCAACTGGGGATTATCCTTAGTGTGCATCTCACAAAAGTCCGGAGTGATTTGAACTCGCAACCCTCTTGGTTATTAGTTGACAACTAACCGCTCGACCGAGATTGATCGATCAGTTGCTTGAGTACCTTGCTGTATGGACAACATCGTTCAGTCTTTAATCAGGGAATTCAATTCCTCTTGTTGGCTGCCTTCTGAAATGTACTGTTCACTGTTTGTGCGAAATGTCCTTGCTCATGAGCTACCTATATTGTATTGTCACGGTAAAGAGATTCTGGAAATTTGTAATGGAGATTTCGAGGAATTCAAGCTGTGCCATTTCGGCCCGATTTAACTAGGCGTGCTCACGTTAGCATATTGAGCATGCCGTTTAGTTGTCTATTTTGAAGTCAACAGGGTTGATCCAAAGCGTTTCCACTTATTTAGTATTTACTGTTTGTATCGAAATTTTTCGCGAGCGAAAATGCGGCCTGAGTCATTTGAGAAACAGCGTCGTATCTGCTGTTATCAAAAGAATGTGTGCCCTTTCAAACTTTATATACGTAGCGCGGCGTGATCGCAATCGCATTTTTTTTGTCATCAATGAGTATTCCACTCTCTAATTCATGGTACCATGTTTTGTTGGGCCCACCGTAATCTGCCACTGATCCTACTTGTTTGATTGGGAGAAAACCTGTTCAATCCTCTCATTGTCACTTGTGGAGCCAAGTGCGGCAACTGATACATCACCTTTACGAAGAATTGCTGGTCGGTCATCCACTTTACTTTGAGTGTAATTGCCAGCACAGGAGAGCTACTTGATTCCTCGGAAACCTTCGCACCTCAACACGTTATCTCCTTCAACCTCAACAAAAGTAAGACTGCCGACATTACAGAGGAAGCATTTTAGTTTGTTTTAGCTTCTCTGCCGTTCCCGGTTGACTGACTCTATCCACTTTGCTCCTTTCCAGATTCAGACTGTGACCTTAATGATATGCCTCCCAAATTCTCTCTAAACTAAGTAGCTAAAATACCCTACCGTTATGTTGCCGGGCCTTAATCGTGCGATCTTTGCTATCAGCCGACTGCACAGTGTCCACCGACTATCGCACATTTTTTGGCTGAGTGCCCAAAAATTGCTTGTTGTTGCCGCAAATTTTACATCATAAATCAAGATTCACTGTCATTCAGCAATCCATCCAAGAGTCGCATGGGGTGATTTGCTTACTCCACACTACATTAAGGCTGCGAAATTCATCTATATATACTATCCAGTTCCTAACAGATTCCTAAATAATTGGGCATCACTCCGTCCACATTGACTGTAGGTTTTAGAACAGGTCACTCTGGCAGGCTGGTTGTGGCATATTGGCAGATTCAGTTGTGGGTCTTCGATTTTTTCTGACGATCACAGTTTTGTGGAGCGGTGTTAAAAATTAACGTCATTTTGGTGTACGCATTCTCGTCTCACACGCTTGTACCAGACTAGCAGTGAAGCGGTAATTTGGAGACTGTGGCCATATGAAAGTCGCAATGAGTAGACTGATTGGCCTGTGTGAACAGTCCTGGTTACTAAAGTGCTGATACCCATTCTGGCTTCAATACGCTTGAGCTTACTATGTCCAGGGACGGGTAGTCATCAAAGTATATTAGATCTGATTATAGTCCGTTCCGTTTGAGGATTCGCCGCGTCCTGATAAACGCCAGAAGTATCATCAAAACGATGTTAAAGATATACCGAAGGTAATCTGTGATAAGTAATTATACAGCTCACCTGTCATATTCCTGTAGAATTTCCATCACAGCTTGGATCGCCACACTGTATTCATTACAGGACTGAGCCACTTCAATTTGTCGGCTTGCTGGCATTTGCTTTGAGGAAATGTGATTGGAAAGATCTACGCCAATTACAACATTGATACTGGTTCTAAGAAAAGGCAAACAAAAATAGATAAAAACATAAGTCTGAAGCAAACGGTGTAACTATGATACCTAAATTAGCAGCTATAGTCAAAATGTTTGAACAGTCTCCCTGGCCTATTAAGGGAAGACAGTCAGATAAAAGAAGTTCTCGACGCATTGGTCATTATATTTAGGGAACAAGTGATAGACCAATGAAAGTGCGCAGAAAGTAGGAAACTGTCAGAGTAATGTCCCCACGTGAGAGGCATTTTTATTTCCGAAAGTCCTTCAAACGAATGTGGGTGTGCAGGGACAAGTGGCTGAGCTAAGAGCTCACAGAAGATCATGCGTGATCTCTGCCTAATTGGGCGATGGTTGGTCGCTCATGCGTGCTAAACCAAGTGTGGCGGGTCATGCTGTAAAATCATTCTACAAGCGTATGAATTCCACAGCAATTTGGCGTTTGCGGATTTCTCCGCACAAATTTCGATTCTGGCTTTTCTTGGAAATAAAGGGCTAAACACCGCGAAGATAAGCGCTGAATATTTTGCAACCGTGTCGAACAAGCTAGGAATTCCGTTAATTATCCCTGTGGAGGGATTCATTTGAGAGACACGATAGGGACATAGCCAAAGTAGGTGTCCGAATACATCCATTTGGATGACCGCGGACTTACGCAAAGAGATAAACTCGTTAAATCTGCTAATGGTAGGAACTCAAGTTACAGGAGATCTAGTTGTTGACAAATTAACTTCCGTTTATTGGATGAATAATATCTGTCTTTCGAAATTTAAAACTTCTAAATTGGCGCGTGATAGCTGTTTCATAAAATATAAAACGCTTAGGTTCTTGATACCTAACTCGATACACAAAGGGGATGGACAGAACGCATGATTTCTTGCTGGCACTTTTGATGAGTTGTAGAAAAGATGTTGCACACCGTCGATGGAATTCACCATGAAAGACTTGTAAAATTAGGAGAAATAGACAATTTACCTATCCTTGCTTTATTACAGAGAACAAGGGTTGGTAGCTAACCGATAAACGTAGAATCCCTTCAGTAGCTGTAGTCACACCGGAATTGAGGTCTATTGATCGTTTGAGTAGTTCATGTGAAGGACAGGATATCACTTGAAGGTCATATCGTTTTGAATGTCTATTGGCGTTTTGAGGGGGTACACTGTCAAGCTGCATCAATCGTTAATCAGCCCACTGGAGTTGTTCCCACGCACTCCTTGTGCATAAGCAGTACTAGGAAGCTTTTACTGTGGCTGCTCTCGTACATGCATGTGCGGTTAGTTTTTCGAACATCCATAAGACAACGAACCACCGTACTGGGCCTGCGCGTCCGGTCTTGACGACTGCGATGAACTCGACCTTAAAGCACACTTTGCTTCGAAGGGTTACTAAGCGAACTATCTGGAACTGATTGGAGTTATCTCACGATTTCACTGCAGGTCGTTTACGTCTACCTTGTGCGACCGTCTAGTTGGATGAAGACAGCGTCTTTTTCGTGGTCATCACCCACTGTCATGCGCTAAGTGCCAAGGTGAACTCCAAACCAATTTCACGCATATAGGTGTAGCCTCTCACCATGCATGTTTACTTACAGGATACCAATATCCCCCGTCCTTCTAATAGGGTGAGTACTACCAATGAAAGAAATAAGCTCTTCATTGCGGAGTCGTTTATCAGAAAACACCAACTGAACATTTACTGACCATTGGACAGGAAAGCAAAACTCTCATGTGCACGTAATTTTTATAAACTGAAAATCCATCTTCCTTTTGAAAGCGTCATTGACTATCAAGCAAATGTAAGCGAATGCTACGAAGCAACTCCACTAATTCCGTATTAAATACCACCTTCCAATAGATCAAGTCGAAATTGCGAGGAACCGCATACTACTCGCATGCTCATCAGTAGTATCCAGCGTTACAACAGTATCATCTTCATAAACTCCAAGGTGTAGATGCAAATTTTGTTCGCTAAGCTCTTTTCATAAAAATTTAACTTTTATGATGCACAGGAACACGGTGCTATACGAGAAGAGCTAAGCTCTCCGATGGATTCCACTTGCTGGATTATGGCTTCCAGGGGCTAGGCCAATTTGTAGGTTCTTATCGGTCATCCATCCTGGATATCCCGATAAAGCACTGTTGCGCATAACATGGTTTCTGCCGTGTAGTATCTGAGAAAGCATCGTTGAGTGGGTTTATCTCATTTACTGAACTCCTGTCCTTGAAGCTTCCCCCCGTTTACTATTTGGAGGAATGTTCTTGAAGGGCCTGCCTTCAGTGAAACATTTTTACGGGGATTCTACTGTTTTCTCACTGATCATATTGTGAAAACCCTTCCAGAGTTCAACAAAGAAGTACCACACAACCCCGTCAGAATGAACAGTTTTGCATCTCGTTGTATCCCACACTGGTCTACCTAATAGGGTCGTTTTTATGATGTATGGTGTACGAAGTTTTGTGTTCCGAATAGGGTAGCGCAAAAAATCATGTACATTACGTGAGGAACAAGAACTTACCCGCCAAAAATATAATCCAGGAAGGAGAAATTGGACTGGGCAAGGGACAGCCGAACTTTAAGCTAAGTTGTAAAGTGAATAAAGTGGAGAAGATCAGTTAGGCTATGGTGAAATACGTTTAAAATGCTTGATAGTGAAGGCGATAAATAGTTGCTCTATGGTGCTGATCGCAAACTTCCGTTGTTAAAAATGTTCTGTGTGAATAGTTTATCAATCACCGGCTGCTGTAGTTGGGCCTGGGAATGGGAACTGGGGAAGAACTAGGGCAACTCCTGTGGGCATGAGAACTCGGCTTTCGAGCGAACTTGTCGGCTGCATTCACTCATTTATTTTGCTCTCTGTTTGCCTTATTTCATATGTAAAATCACCTGAAACTGTCAAATTACAATTTTTGGGAAATTGAAACTTGCGGTTAGAAACCACTGGGTTTTCTACGTAACAGTGTAGTTGTGCATGGCTGCTATAGATCATCATCATCGTCGATAGCACAACACCAATAATAATGCTTTGCTATCGTATAACCATAATTTATTTGAAAACCTTACGGTGAAGAGAAGAATGAAGGTGGATGAGGAAGGGTCTGAATGCTAGTCAACCACAGTCATTCCGAATTACCAACATTTCCAGACGCTCACCAGGCCATCTGGATAGAAAGGACAACTTGAATGCCACTGACATCGATCAACAGTGTCTCCAAATATGCACACGGGTGAGGGTACTGTTATATCTGCTGATTCGCCGGCTTGTGGTATCTGCTGCTGACCCGCTCCAGTGCCTAGTGACGGAGAGAAAAAGACTCACGGAAGGGAACACAATAGCTATATTCAAACAAAGTGG